TTTGTAAACAAGAATTAAATATATATATCAAACATATTATTAATAAATATAAAAACTATGCAATTTAAATTTATCACGTTTCTTGTTTTTCTCTTAATAATTAAAAACATTTTAGCTGCTTGTGGTTGTTGTAGTTTAATCGGTCATAATAAAAACATCTGTAATAGAAATCCCTGTACCAGATTACAACAACACCAAAATCTAAGACATTGCGATAACTGTGGCAGCACGTTATATATCGCATCTAATAAAAGATGTCGCGCAAAAAAACAATTTTTTTAATCATCTTTCTGATAATACTATTAATAACGACTCTAGTTGATAGTTTATGTGGAATCTGTCAAAAAAAAAGACATAACAGAAACACATGTCCAAGACAATTTGATATCAATATAGCATTTTATAATGATGAAGATATGATATTAAATAGAATAGGAAAAACTTTAGTACCCTGGCAATTACATAAAATCGTTAAAAACAGACCTCCCGAAGGAAGATCATATACATATTGTGGTGCATTAGGTCATAATAGAAGAAAATATCCTTTTAAAAATAATCAAGGTAGAAACTTACGAAATGTAGCTGAAATCAGAGCTGCAGCAAAAAAATATTTTGAAGCACCTTATTATCCCATACGAATGTGTGGTTGGTGCGGCGCTATCGGTCATAATAGTAAAAGTTGTTCTCTTTGTAAAGCTCGAGGAAATAGGATAGATAACGATCATAAAAGAGCATTAATAGAAGGTCTTAATAAATTTAAAAATAGTCCCAAATATAAATTCAAACATAAAATAGTACCAGAATTTATGATTAGAAATAAATTTTTATTATTATTTTTATTATAATAAAAACCGTTTCATGTGTTTATCTAGTAATTGTATTACCAAATGTTTGGTTTGATATTGAATACAAACCTTATTACCAACCATATCATAGACCCAAACAAATTCCATATAGGCTATACAGGCCAAGAAGACAACGTATACCAAACTACATAGCCGCTTGCGGATGTTGTGGTGGTGAAAATCATGCTAGAAATGATCCGAATGCCCCTTGTCAAAATCAAAACTGTATCAATTCTAGATTGGTAAGATCGCTCAGAGAACAAAGATTATATTATATTGAAAATGGAATTCAAATGCCAAACAATATAGGTTAAGGACCTCCGAATAACAATCAAAGACCAAATAGACAAATTCCACCAAGAAATAATAGTGGTAATGGTAATGATGATGATGATGATGATGATGATGATGACAATGATAATAGTAATCCCCCTCAAAATAATATACTACAAGCACAACAAAACCAACAACCGAATCAACAAAATTTAAACAATAATATCGATAGATTAAGAGAAGATATTAGAG